GTCCCCCTTTCCATGCCTCCTTCCTCTTTCTCCTGGACTCCAAATGTCTCCTCAGAGTCCCTACTGTGTCAAGCAACTGCCCAGTGTCAACATCAATCCTCCCAGGATGCCCAGAGGAAGAGATGCCGTTCGTTTCAACCAACCCACCCTCTACAATGAGCTCAGCCCCATCCCCATGGACCATCTCTCAATCCTTCTGAGCTCCATACAAATACCTTGTGATCTCCTAAAATTACATTTGCTCATTTGCTCTGCCTTAGCTGTTTCTATCTGAGATCTTTCTGTCTGAGGCTCCCACTCAGAGGCGGCTGTTTTTCGATCTGTGCTTAAAGGTGCAGACTTCTCAGTGTCCTCAGGAATTTGTCCACGTCTCCTCACCAGTCTCTGAAACAAAACTTTATTCAGAAGAGCCTGACTGAGTATGGCTGTCTGGTCTGCTGTGTTTCTGGCCCCCTGAGAAGTGACCCTTCCTGTGCTACCTGCATCTCTTTCCTTCTTAAGACGAGTCTGAGAACTCACACAATCAGGATTTTGCTTGAAAAATGGAGAAGAACCTAGAACCCTCCATTGAGGCAGCTACTTTCTCAGTGTAAAAAATCAGACCATGTGGTCATCATTGTGATCACTTACTAAGTTTTGCACAGATTTCAATCATTTGAAATACAATTAAATAATCACTAGAAGCAAAGACCTGAATAAAAAGGGCCAAGCCTTTCATATTTTCTTGGAGATTTCTTTCTTGACTGTGGTTCTTACACATTTACCTATGACCAATTCCTATGAGGCATTCTGCTGGCTGCAAGGCTCTGAAGAAAAATGTGTCTAGTTGAGAACCACTCTTCTACTTACACGCACACACACACACCTGTTCCTGACATGCCTGACCTGCTAAGTCCAAAGTCAGTGGTGCAAACACCCCACAGGGAGCAGAGGGCTCTGGAAGACACTGCCTTCTCCCTTTTCCCTTTGGTATCCAAAAAGCTAAACACTGGCCCCTAGTGGGGACAAGACATGGGGGATTCCTGCCTGGCTCATGGGAAATTAATCCTCTCCAAAAAACTGGAAGGCTTTGGTCTATGGGCACCGGCAATCATGGCGTCAGGGACGGAGAGGCCTGTGGTGGAGATGTGAACGCAGTGGGGTGGAAGGACTGGATCTGCAGGCGGACCGTGCACCATGCTTCTCCTTACCTGGACTTGGGTTGGGGGAGAGGGTGTCTTCTCTGCCTGTGGAACATCACTGACAGAGGATGGGCAGACTGTGTTTGAAAACAAACCTCTGCAGGGATGGACTCGCCTGCACGCAGCACTTCTGACCACATTCAACACCAGTGCTCTGCCCCTCAGCCCCAGGGCCCATTACTGCAGAGCTCCGGGCCATCTTCATGGTCACTGTCTACAGGCTAATAAGCAGGTTCGGGGTGGTCCTGGGACTGTCAGGTGCAAAACTCAGCAGAAAGTATTTATGGAGCCCAGCCTTCAGGTCTTTGGAAAGTGTGGTCCATCTGAGCCACCAGAAATATAAGAATTCCATGGACAGAGGAGCCTGGCTGGCTGCAGTCCATGGGGTTGTGAAGAGTCAGACACGACTGAGCGGCTAACATGAAGTGTGGTCCACAGCCCAGCAGGGTGGGCACTGCCTGGGAACGTGTCAGGAATGTGGTCTCAGGCCTCACCCCAGAACTTCCAGAATGGCAGACTGTACTTGAACAAATTCCGTTCCATAGGGAATGTCTGTGGATAGTAAAAGCTGAGAAGTCCTTGAGAAGTCACCTAGGAAGGGAGATGATCCACTCCTCTAGGAGCTCACACATGGTTAGGAAGGTATAACTTGCAGATATAAAACTATGAAGCAGAGTGCATGTCTACATCATCAAGCACGTTTTGGAAGGAAAACTGGATATGGATTACCAAGACCAGCCTCAGTCACTACTATCACTGAGCCTGAGCTTCCCCATCTGTAAAGTGGGAATAATACTTATCCTGTCAACTTTATAGACAGACGGTCCTAGATGGGAAAGCACAACACCCATGTAAGATGCTATTGAATGTTATGTACTCCAAGTGCTAGAGAGGATCCAGGATGAGAGAGTCTGGGAAGAACCACTGAAGGGCAGGAAATAGTGGCGTTTTAAAGATACTGGACCACACACTTTACTAAAGTAAAATGGGAAAATGTACATTTTGACATCTGCACTTCATATAGCCTCTAGCCTGAGCTACAGAGAGCTCCCTGTGACCAACTTTCTTCCTGACAATCTGCTCATGGCCAACAGCACAGGTCTCAGAACACATACTCAACACCACTGGGTGCATTACCAAACACAAAACCAACAGATGTGGTCTCTGTGGGGAGGCTGACAAGAGCTCTGTTGCTGCAAACCTTAACTCTTGCTTGTGAAACGGATTTGTTTGTCATTTGGTGGACTTGACCTGTGAAGATATCTGGATACCGCAAAAGGACACTGGAGGTGGTGGTAGTGTTTAGGGCAGGGAGGTGGGAGAGGGAAGTGGAAAGGAAATTAGCATGAGTTCTTGGGTAATCATTTTCCTAGATGATGTTCATGAAGCCTTTGCTATGTGCTTGAAGTTTTAATGCTTTTCCCCCTGTTTAATCCTCACTACAACTATCTGTCAGACAGGGACTAAAGAGTCCCCACTTTACAGATGAGGAAACCAAGGACTCACGATCTGAACCCAGCTTGGTCTGCTTTCCAAAGCCCATGACCTTAACTGCAGGCTGACCTGCTGAGGTGGTGTGAGACTCTCTGGGCTTCCTCGAGCAGCTGAAACAATGCGGCCGCTTTTGTTGTGAAACCTGGCTCGCTCTGACTCGCTGACGTTTGCCATGCTTGTCCTGAGCTTCTCCAGAGAAATGCTGTCTTCTGGCAGGAAAAGATAAAAACTGCTGATACAAATGAGTCACCACATTCGCTATAATTAACAGTGATGCAAGAGCCAGATGCAAACCAAGTGGGGCCTCAGGACCTGACTTTCAGGCGGCCCCAAACTTTGAGCTGCACTTCAACACAGAAAAATCCCTGCGGTGAGCTGCTGTCTGTTCAAGATACATTTTAAATGAAGAAATGAAGCCTGGAATGCATGCAAGTTCCCAGATAATGGAGTGGAGAGAAGCGGCACCAAATTAATCTCCTTATTTACAACTGAAAAACTATCCACCAGAACCAGGAAGAAAGTTTATAGTTATAGGTAATGTAGATCTTTGCTTTCACACTCAGCTGCCCTGGAAAGCCTGAGCTGTCTCCAACCTGCTGAGATACTTCATAGCAACTACAATTGCAAATTCAGTTGTACTAGGTTTTCAGTTTATACCCTCCTGATTGCAGTGTGTACCTGGGAACTTAAAAAAAAAAAAAAAAAACAGTTATCATTTGCATCTCTCTAGGCTCTTTCGCTGATATGGAATAAGAAGTAATGCAATGATAGCCTGATGAAAATGACTCTGAAAACACAAGTCCCCCGGTCCAGCCAAAAGCCCATGTGATCACAATTACTTTATGATGAGAGGAGGAGGCAGTGCTCTCTGGCAGCTTCTAGGGTCAGTGATTGCCTCCTGAGTTTCAACAGAGAGAAACAAAGAATGGTCAGGACCTGGTTAGTCTTAAGTGGTCACTGATGTCAGTGTCAGCATCTTACCTGTAGAAAAGAGGTTCAACTCTCCCCAAGATGTGAACACAATACAGCTGATAGAATCTTACCATTTTCCTTTTGAATAGACTTTAATTGAGAGCAAAGTGAAAAATGCAGGTTACATTTTTAGTGTTATCATCAATATGTTGGAAGATCAACACCAAAACAGTGATGCATCTAACATTTATACATATCCTAACTTTAGTTGTCAAAGAGCAGATCGTTATCAGATATATATATTTACACAATAATTTCAAGCAACAGTAAATAATAAACTCCCTCCCTTAAAAAATAAAAACAAAACACACACACATACACCCAACCACCTTTAAACAATGGATTTCCTCACACAATTAAGTCTCTCTTTTTTTTTTTTCACATATACTTGGAGACCCAAAGTTATTTAAGTTACTTAAGAACAATCTTATCAGTGGAAATTCTGGACCAGCCCTTATGTTCTTTTAGAGTCATTTTAATTTTTACAACTTGAAGCCACATAACCAGCATGGTCTGTACACTCTAAGGACACCCCAAATGATAAAAATGAATTCCACTTCCTTTGTGTGAGGAGATATGTACATCTCTGAAGATGTATATGATTACAACTCAAAAGTCAAACAGAAACACAAAAACAAAATCTTCAATCCTCAAGCATGATTTCTTAAGAGCATTGTGCTAACGTTAACAATGAATTAACTGAATGCTAAGATTCTTTTAGATATCTCTGCAGAGGTACTGGTTAGTTCTGATTCTCTTTTTTTTTTATCAGCTGCTTGAAATGCTTGAGTTTTAAAAGTTGCCTGGTCCAGGTTAGCAGCCTGCCTAACCTCCGGAATGTCGGACAGGACTCACCCCCAGCGCCTTGCGCTCTGATTTATTTCTCGCTGTTGCTGTTAGTAAATGGAAACCATGACAAAGTTTACATTAGCAGACACATCCACATGCCCGGGCCCATAAATATTCTATGATGGAAAATGGTACAATGACTCTGCTCCTCGTGAAAATGAGCGTAAAGTGAGAAGGGGCGGGGGAACATCACCAACAGTGGCTCTGCTTACAGTGCAAAATCCAGACCAAATGGTGACGGGCTTTTAACTGACCGGACACTGAGAGCCACTTCTCCAGGGCCTTACGCGTCAACTCAAAGTTGGCTGAGCAGAGACCAACTCCTTTGGGCAAACCTGGTAGAATCCAGTAGTACAGGCATCTTGTCTCAGACGCTGGATGAAGAAAGATCAACCGCCGTCTCCTTCTCTGACAAGCGAGTGAGGAGGAATTTTACAGTCAGCTTTGAAAGGAGTTCACACTCTGTCCTGCCTGGGACACAGAACGGTGGCCGGTGTGGACCCCTCAGAGCGCCAGCTGAAGCTTGCTCATGTTCCTCTGGTGCATGTTGTGATGGCGGACTAATTCGTCTGAACGGGCAAACTTTTTCTGACAACTGGGCCACCGACAGCTGAAGGGCTTCTCACCTGTTGACACAATGGCCAGTCAGAGACACTTGTCGTGGAGAAACGGAGCTGCCAGTTCAACTACCAAAGGCCTGAGTTAAGTCATCACAAGGCACCCACTCCAGATTCCCTCTAGCTCTTTCCCTAAGCTCACACATCTAGTTCATCTCACAAGGAGGCCTTGACATGGCAGCACCTCTGGGGCCGCGAGGATTAAAATGCTGTGACAATGACAAAATGTTACTGAGTCAGAAGACTTGGGAAATGGGAGAGAAGGAGTGAGTCTAGTTAATGGAAATGTCTGGGCACTTCATATTTAATCAAGGGGGGAAAACACTTGGTAAAACAAAACCCCTGTCATTAGACGGTTTCGGGAATTGTGTAAATGCTTCCCGTTTGCTGTTTAAGGAGGGAACTGAGCTAAACTGGAAGGCAAGGCACTTAGGATCATCACGCAGGATACTGTTAATGGACAGCCATCCAGTAGCAAAGCTGTAACTATGGCTTTAATATCTCTGTCTGTATAGATATTCTGGATGGGCTGGGTGTTTTAAATAAATTACTGACATCAGTACATATGGTATTTGCTTCTTTTACCTTAAAGGGTTATTTAGAGAGTAATGCCCATTATATAGAAGATTTGAGGTGAGGCATGGTTTTGAGATTTTTAAAAAGTTTGCCAAAATATCGAGCCTCCTTCTCTATCTAAGGAGGCCTCAGAAGTTTCTTCCAAGTCTCATTTTGGACGGGAAAGATAATTAGCATTTCTGAATGCCCATCTATGTACTAAGCTCTATGCTGGGTTATCATATTTATATATATATATATATATATATATATATATATATACACACACATATAAAATTATATATATTAATTATACATAATATGTATAATTTCATATACTCCTTCCAACAACCTGTAAGGTGAGCATTACTATCCCCATTCTACAGATGAGGCTGGAACCTCGGTGAGGGCAGACACAGGCAGGACTTCTTAAACATAGGTCTGTCTGATTCCAAATCCAGGTCTGTCTGCAGGACACACTTGGCTGCATCACACTTCCTGGGCCTTGGCATAATGGAAATACAGCTGTGGCTTTATCCTAAGTAAAAGCGTCACAGGAGCCAATTCCTTCACCACCTGGGGAGGTTCTCAGGATATAGCTAGTCCTTCTCTGAGAAATACTGGATGGGACAAACACTGAGAAATGTCCCACGGGAGGCACTGTCCCTGGGTCGGAACTGGAGGCTAATCAACTATAGTTCCCAGTTAGATATTAAGCAGTCTGCTGGTGACACAGGTCATTTTGTACATATACAGATATGCATGACGTGGGGCTCAGGGTACCAGGGATGATAACTCTTTCCCACCAAATTATGAGCTCAGGACTAAGGCAAAGAAGTGACATTAAAGGTACTCGAGTCACGAAATGAGTTGTCCATCCCACTGACTCTGGGGCACAGGTACTCTGATTGTCTGCAAGTACAGCCTGCTGGGGCTGAGAATCCAGGACTGCACGGAGGCTCATGGCTCACACTTCCTTCGCCTCCCACTCACTGTCCCTCTGCCCTTCCTGATCTGGCTTCTGTCCCCTGCTTCCACTGCCAACCATGCTGTCAAAGGTCACCTCCTAATGGACAAATCCTAACCTCTTCCCCGTCAGTCATCATCCTCCTCAAACTCTCAAGGGAACTCAACTTTGCTGACTGGGGGTCTCCTCCTGATTCTCTCTTCTTCCTGGGCCACAAAGTGAACACAGACTCTTTCCCCAATAAAGAAGCAGTGGATAGGTGGGCTGGGAGCAGACAGAACTGGCTACTTACTAGCTTTGGACTTTAAACAGTTATTTCATCATTATGTGCCTCAGTCTCCTCATCTGTAAAATGGGGATAAAATGTTATCTGTCCTACTTTTCTTCCAAGGATGTTGTAAAGATAAAATGAGATAACCTAAGCATTGGTCCTCCCTCTAAAGCTAGAAAATACACAACAAAGATGGTGCTATTTTATTTTTTTTTTTATGGTGCTATTTCATTATGAATCACACCAGCCTTGTGGAGAAGCAAAAACTTTTAGCAGCTGTGAATAAATGTCCTTTCTCTCTATATTCCTTTTGTTTGTTTAATTTTTAATTTTTGGCCATGCAGCATGTGGGATCTTAGTTCCCTGACCAGGGATTGAACCTGTGCTCCCTGCATTGAAAATGCTGTGTCTTAACCACCGGGCCAGAGAGAACAAGGGAAGTCCCTCCCTCTATTCTACTATGAAGGAAATAATACCCACACACCAACATGAGTCTGGCAGAAACCATGACTGCTCCTGGGGCATTAACTTTTAGCAGAGCAAAGATTCATGTCTCTGAAAACAGTATTATAAAATGCAAACTTTCATGAGTACAAGTGGTTGGCTTGCTAGAATTTCTGCTGTTTTTCTCCAAGGTTGATTATCCTATCAAACTGAGTGATAAAGATGTGATGCAACAAACTGGGAACAGCAAGGACCTAACTTATCTCTTCACTTCATTCTGGACACTCCTGAAAACAGTTCTTTTCACATCTCTTCTCCATACCTCCCACTCCCATTCCTTCTTAAACAATGTTATTATTTAAAGACAGCCATGCACTGTTCTTTCTCTTTCCTGAATCTAAAGCAGTTTAGAAGGTTTACACCCATCTTTTCCAATCTCTCGCATCACAAGCAACTCCATTCAACAGTAGTTTTAAAAAAATAAAGAAAAATAAATGTGAAGAAAAGTTTACGCACTTGTTTTACCTGTATGAGTCCTGGTGTGGGTCTTCAGGTGGTCGGAACGGGAGAACTTTCGCTGACAAGTTTTACACTGGAATGGTTTCACACCTAAACGGACAGAGAAGGTCTAGCCGCGGCCCTAACCACGTGGGGGCATAGCAAGACCCAAAGGCCTGCTTCCCGGCAGCCTGAGGAGTTGGGCATTTCCAGCCATACCTGCAGTCTGGCTCGCCCTCAGATTTCCCCAACACCCCAGGCCCAGCAGGAGCCACCTAATGCAGCACAGTGATCCTTGAAGACCTGTTGTCTTGGGAACAACTATTGCTTAACCACAAGTGTCCAGCTTCTCAGGGAGGTTTCAGCTGTGTCTGAGACTGAAAAAGTGAATCACACACTACAGATGGGACTTTGCTCTCCACCCACCCGTGTTCTTTACTGAGACTCAGTTGTATCATCAGCAAATTGCTAGTGGGAGTCTCATGACTCTGGTTTTCAGGAGAAAATGTGGGATGTTTCCTTTCCTTTCTTTTTTTTTTTTTAAAGAGAAGGTAAATCCCCAGCAATTAGGAGGGAAAATTATTGGAGAAACTTAAAAAAACGGCTGACCCTCTTACACCCATACTGAACAATAAAGAGAATCACAAAATCAACCATGACCCAAGGGAACACACTGCCGGCAACGAGAAGGGAGCCTACAAACCTGTGTGTCTCCTTTGGTGTCTTTTGAGCTGGTCTGAACGAGAAAACCTTCGTTCACAGTCCTTGAAGTCACACTGGTATGGTTTCTCACCTTGGGGAAGACATATATTCCATTGGAAAATGATATTGGAAATAAAGATCTCATTAGAGGCAACTTCTCTTCCTGGGACTGAAAGGATCCCGAAATGCTGAAAGGCACTTGGGTGGAAGGTTTCAGGGATATGCTGTCAACCTTAGGTGGCTTCCCAGGTTGCACTAGCAGTAAAGAACTGGCCTGCCAATGCAGGAGATGGTAAGAGACGCAGGTTCAATCCCTGGGTCGGGAAGATGCTCTGGAGAAGGGCATGGCAACCCACTCCAGTATCTTGCCTGGAGAACCCCCAAGGACAGAGGAGCCTGGCAGGCTATTGTCCATAGGGTCACAGAGTCAGACACGACTGAAGTGATTTAGCATGCATGCATGCCAACCACAGGGTTAGGAGGAAGTCCCACCTACATACATACATTCATGGGCAGGAGGCGCAGAATCAGGGGCTGGGTGAATAAGGCTGAGTTGGAAGCAAAGGGAACTCGGGTCATGGAGTTTGACACAGTGGGGAATATCCAAGCTCTTTCAATCTGCTGGATGAGGTGTCGTTTCCTCACTGTGAAATGGGGCCAATGACCTGACAGCTTCCAAGGACTTATAAACAGATTACAACAGACCATCCACAGAAAGGGCTTAGCTTAGAGCCTAGCACAGAGGCAGTGCTCAAAAAATACTGGCAGCTAATATTTAAACAAATAATAAACCAAAGCGGTCTTGAGTCCAAGACTTGAGTTTGTGGCAGAATTCTGGGATGGATGTCCCCTGGAGCTGGCCCCGTGGAGTAAGGACTTGATGTTTTATGGCCTACGGCGCTGGTGTTCTCTGCTACTGACTTCCCATCCCCGAGTCAGGTATAAACAACTCCAGGGTTGTAAGAGGCTCAAATTAAACTAGGAGCCAGAGCCTTAGAGGTCTGAGTATCCCTTGACTGGAGAGAAGACAGGAATGGGATTACACAACCTCCTGCCTCACAATGGAGAAGCCCCGCCCCTGTCTTTGCAGGAAAAAGTTCAGCCAAATCCCAGGAACTGCGCTCCCTGAGTACACTGAGCAACCCTGGACTGTCCCACCTCCTTATGAGAATTCTGAGTCACCGGCATTCTGGGATGGAGAGCAAGCCATCCCAGGATCAGCCGGCTCTCTCTGTTGTCAGGCAGTCCCTGGTTATCTTTCTAGCCTCAGACCTCCTCAGCTTCCCCAATTCATCTATATTCCTGCTCTACAGAGCTCACCCTTCCTGAACCCTGCCTAGAACTTCGCTCACACTAAATACCCTTAGTCCCTATCTCCAGATTCCTAACCCACCATAAACTCTACAGCACGTCCTTCTCAAATGCTGTTTCCTCTGCGATGCCTTCTTGGAAGCTTCATGTTCACATAGAAAGCCTTTCCTTCCCTCATTACAGAATGGCTGACGTGGGGCCTTGTCAGATCCACCTTGTGCCACAGGCTGGAAAATCCTGAGAGCAGGAACCTTTCCTCAACTTTCTATTGATATCCAGCCTAGCACCTTAACTTCAGCTCTTCAAGCTGGAAAAAGCAATACTTCTATCCAGTCTCATGTCTTTTTTCTGCCTTTCTGCTTCTGCTCATCCTTTACTTTCTCTGCCCGACCCTGCCTACCCTTTAATGGTTAACCCAAGCCCTTCCTTCTCCAAGAAACAAATGATGCTCACTCAAAGCAATACCCTCTGAATGAATCTTCTCAGAGCCTCCAGATTCACTCTATCATCAGACATTCTCTCGTCCCTTTTCACTTTTGTATGTCTTGGCTCCAAAACAGACCATCAACTCTTTGAGCAAGGGGCTTGTGACTTGGGAGTTAAAAGGCATGAGTTTCAGTCTGGCTTCCCTATATCCTACCCACTGGATAACTGTTCTGTGTGTGACAATAAAATGAAATAATGAATGTAGAGAATTTGGCCCATGGAAAGTATTTAATAAAAGGTTCTTAACATAATAGTCTGTACTATTATTAGGAATAGATACAAAAAGATGCACTCTTTCAAGAAGGGAACTTCAGTGATGTTAAATACCCTTCCCTCCTCGTCTTCTGCAAGGATGAGTTTCTTAAAGGTTCCAGCAGGTCTGAGGGTCATGGCTATCTTTCTTACTGCCTTCCCTTCCCATAGACATCTAACCCTTACTGTTTTCTAAGTGCCTCTTTTCCATTATAATTTCTACAACCATATTGCCTTCAATGTTTTCTCTTGTATTTGTCTAGGCAGAATTTTACTTTATCATTTCTTTATCATACTTTATCATTTACTTTATCATTACTTTTCAAATTATCTCATTTGGGGAAATACGTAACAATATAACATGCAACTTCTCATATTCAGCATCAAAGCAGGTGGTCTACTGAGTGCAAGCTCAGGTCTATGCTGGAACTGTAGCCTTCAGACACAATGGCTTAGCAAAGACCAATGGTCTCAAGGGATCTGAAACCAGTTCATTTTCTTCTTCAGCTTCCCCAGAGAAAAGTCCGCAGTAACAATAAAACAATGAAAGTGAAAGTCGCTCAGTCATGTCCACAGAATTCTCCAGGCCAGAATACTGGAGTGGGTAGCCAGTATTCTTCTCCAGGACATCTTCCCAAGCCAGGGGTTGAACCCAGGTCTCCCACATTGCAGGCGGATTCTTTACCAGCTGAGTCACAAGGGAAGCCCAAGAATACTGGAGTGGGCCTACCCCTTCTCCAGCAGATCTTCCCAAGCCAGGAATCAAACCAGGGTCTCCTGCATTGCAAGCAATTCTTTACCAACTGAGCTATGAGGGAAGGAATAATAAACAATAATGGTACTTATAACAAAGAAGCTACCTTCAGTTGTGGAAAAAAATGGTACCAGCTCCCCAGTAGGAAAGCCTGCACTTTGCCCTGATTTCCTGTAGGAAAACTCAGTCACATTCCCATCCAGTGCCCACAAGGCCAACCAAGAACAGAGATTTGTGAAACCGATGTTCACATTCACTGTGGCCAACAACCAAAAGTGGCCAGTTCTCTTCCAGAGGCAGACCCTGTGACCTGTGGGAAAATCCAGGATTCTTTAAAACATCATCAAAAAGCATCATCTTTTTTTTTAGGTTCAAAACCAAAGTTAAACTTAGAAGCCATTTTCCCATTCCTACCTGGTTGGTTATTACCTACCCAAGCAGTTAAGTTCCTCTTCGGATCATCTCATCCTAAGTCTCCAGAATGACCTTGCACATCAAGTTCCTAGAATTATCCAACTACCAAGCTCCCAGGCTAGCTCCTCTCCCTTAAGAGATGCTAATACTATGATAAAACTAATAAGAGCATTTATTCAGAATTATTGACACAGCAAACTGTATGAGATGGTTCATATCTCTAATTCCTTTAATTCAATTTTATTTTAGAAGATAATCTAGTCTCAACAACTGTATAAGGGAGGCTATCATCTCCATTTTCCATGTAAGGCACATGAAGTTTGAAGAGTGGTTAGGTAACTTGCTGCAGGTCATACCACCTGGTGGTGAAACCAGACTTCAAGCATAGGTCTCTTTAATTCTGTGAAATTCTCTACCTACCTACTGTGCTCTTCCCTTTTTTAATAAAGGATAGAACTTCAGGATACAAAATGGCCTGACAGCCTTTTTCCATCACCTCAAAGTAGTGCCTACTTTGCATTCTAGAAATCACCTGTGTGCTGGCAGTGACAGCTAGAAGCAGGGGCTCCTAAGCCGCCCCTGAGCGACCGGAACCAAGGCTGGACGCTAAATGCACTTACCAGTGTGCTTCCGGCTGTGCATCTGTAAGTGGGACAGCTTAAAATATCTCTTATTGCAGCCTGGGTAAGCACACATGAAGGGGCGTTTCTCACTGGTCTCAGAGGCCGACCGGACAAGAGTCGGGGCCACTCCAGGCACACGCCGCACATCCTGCAAACAGAGCAGAAGATAAACAGAGGCTTTGAGGCACATGTGAACACTCACACTGGTCCCAAGGAAAGCGAACTTTGACATATTCCCAAAGCAGGGACAGTGGATGCAATGCCTGAAACCACTCCCCCCCACACCTGAGGTGCCCAAAGCAGACATCGCTAGTGGATGACAGAGCAGCACATTCGACAGTGCAGTGCCCTGAGATCATCACTAATGATCAACCAGAACTGGGACCCGAAATGAAGTCTGTCTTGGGGCTGCTGATCCAGAACATCTGGAAAAGAAATGCTGCACACTGGCAGAGCTCCCAATCTCAGCTTCTCATCTTGAGGCAAAGAGGTCTGGAAGTCAAAGCCCCAGGTTCTATTCTATGGCCTCCCACTTGGACACCAGGCCACATGACCTTGGGCCCCATCTGCAATGGGTTGGGAAGTCCTTTTTAGAGAAAAATGAGCCCCCAACTGAGCAACCTCCCACGTGTGAGTCAGTGACAAGGAAGAAGAATACATCCTGGGAGGTGAGGGTTCTGTCTGTGAAGGGAGCTGAAACCACAGCAAGCCCACAGTGTTGCCAGCACGATCCTTTAATAGAGACACCAGGAAGCACTGTGTGTGTGCCCTCTGCCCACTTTATATGTGCATCACAGGGCATTCTGTGGATCACCTTTACCCTGTAGGAGTGTGTGTGCATGGTCGGTCCTCCATGAGAAGAAGCTAGAGGGAAACAGTGAGGCAAATGCTCCTTAGGCTCCGGGGACTGATGAGTCATAGACAAAAGCAATGCAAGTGGCTGCGAGACCATTGAATGCTCCTTGCCCTCACACAGACGTGTGAGTCACGACCCGAGAGCACATCCACAGTTTGTGTTGAGACCGGGACCACTTCTAAGCTTACCCACTCCTGCCCTGTGAACTTCCCACACCATCCACAAGCACATGTCCAAGCTCCTATTTCACCTCTTGCTGTGCGACCTTTTTTAAAGTAAACATACAGTAGTGCTACACGGCTCTACTACTGATGGGCCACAGTGTCTTAAGGCAAAAGGTGGAATAAGCTTAAATGAGGAGCCAGCTGTGTCAGACTGGTTCACTCTATAAGAAAATGAACACAGGCCACAACAGTAAGTTTGATAAACTGGGCTTGGTGAAAAGGAAGGGAAAAGGAGTTTCACAGAGTCCCTTTAATTCACCCCAGAGGCAGCGCACAAGGCAACAGGGAATAAAATGGAGTTGTCAGTGTCAGCCGGTCCTGGTGGAGAAGCTCGACAGTACTTGTCTGACTTCCATCAGACGTCCATACTTCCATCACCCTCACCTTTATTCTCACCATTAGAAGGCTTGGGATGAGGGAACACGCTGTTCTATCCCCACGGTGCCTCTGGAAACATTCATCAGAACATCTCAGAGCACTTGCTCCACACATCACGTGGGAACTTGGCCCACACACAACTTATTTCTAATGTGCTGACTACTCTGGAGAAAGTATCTTAGCCGTTACTCATGTTGTTGCAACCACAGAATCACACGCCAAAGGCACAAACACAAATCCTTGGTAACTGTGCGTGGTTCTGAACGCCCAAAAGAGGCTCCGGGAGATGGTCTTCTGTCCAGTTTCCATTTTATTTTCCTTTCCTCACTCTCCCTTAGCAAAGACAGAGTCTACCTTTGGGCACTTGACCGTGCAGAACAAGTCTTAAAAGTCCAGAGTTCAGGTCATTAATTCAAGCTCATTTAGCCTCAACATAAGATGTGCATAGCCTACCCTAGAGATGGTGAATTAAACAGTGAAGGAGGAAAGAAGGGAATTCTGCAGAAAGCACCCTGGTCTGAGGGAGGCGGCTGCATCCACACTGGCCTCTGGAGAGGAGAAGGCCCCCCAGCCTGCACCAGTGGAAGAGGGGGGGATCCCTGCTGACACAGGAGCCAATGGTTAGGAACAGACTTGCCAGGGCCAAATGGCCAGCAGTGAGGAATTAAGAGGCTGTTGGGAAGGAAAGAGGCAGCCGGGGCCGCGGTACTCACCTGAATGCCCCTGAAGACGCCATGAGTGTGTATCCTGTACTGTGCGCCGCAGAGGATGGGCGTGGTGTGGTTGTCACTCTCGTAGCCCGTGCCGTGGCTGCAAACACAGAGAAGGGAGAACAGGACTCAGGCTGGTTCACAGGCACACTTCAGGGCCATGCGCCCCTGCAGGGAGAGGAATGTCCTTTCAGAGCTCCCAGGACAACTTGGCTGGCTTCTGCCTCCCTCCACTGGGGCTACCCTGGAAGCAGCGCTTTGTGAAAGGAGGGGCTGCTCAATCCTCGGGTGACCCCCACGCAGCCCCTTACCCTCACGCTCTCCAGCGCACACCATCTGGGTCCACGCCTCTCTCAGACAAGCCAGGGAAAAGTCACAGTGGCGCGAGTTCATTCCCAGCAAGTTGTTTACCATCAAGACAGCAGGGCTGACAGCTGTGAATATCTCAGGAATGAGCAGATGCCTCAAATTTCACGTTGAATGCAAGGGATTTTTTGTCGGCACCTCATGACTCAATTTTTACCAGATAGCACCAAGAAAGCGATGACGCTTACAAGAAGAGATGTCGCATCCTTAGAAGCGGGGATTACACATCTGGGGCTCTGCTCCACTTCAACCGCAGATCAGGTTTCCGGATCAACTTAACTCTTTGCAGCCAAGCCAGATCCTAGGTGGACACTTCCTCCAGCATTAGACTGACCAGTCCCTGAGCCAGAGCTCAGTTAGCCTTGGACTACCAGCGAGAGCTGAGGGATGGAGAAGGTTGGAAAGAAGACCTTGGAAGGGGTGGATGTTCTGCTCTACAAATATTCTCTCCTTTGGGTAAAAGCTGCTCTCTGTTCTTCAGTTGTTTTACTTCCAAATGAGGCCGAGTGGACCTTCCCAGGAGTCCAGTGCTTAAGACGTAGGAGGAGTGAGTTTGATCCCTGGTTGGGGATCTAAGCTCCCGCATGCCACAGGGTGCAGTCAAAGATTACAAAAACTAAAACCACCACCACCAAATGAGGCAAGGTGAGAACTGCAACCCACAGGGCAGCACATTATAATCGCAGCTAGACTCACCATGGGGAGCTTTTATGAAATACCTCTGTAAAATGGCGAAGCTGCTTTGAACCATGTCTGGTAGTTCCTCAAAAGCTTAGATGTAAAGTTACCATGTGACCCAGAAATTCCACATCCAGGTGTATTCCCAGGAGAAATTAAAACATATTTCCCTACAAAGATTTGTACCCATTTGTACCATTTTGTACAATTTGTACCATTACTCATAATAGCCAAAAATGAGAATCAGCCCAAACGTCTGTCATCTGATGGTGGATAAACAAAATATGGTATATTCCTAAAATGGAATATTATTTGAGGATAAAAGGAATGAAGTACATGATAATGAAGTGCATGGCAAACCTTGAAAACATTATGCTAAGAGAAAGAAGTCAGTCACAAAGGACCGCCTGCTGTATGATTCTCTTTACAAGAAACGTCCAGAAGAGGCAAGTTTATAGAGATAGAAAGCAGACAGGTGGTCGATTGCCGAGGACTGAGGATTTTTAGGGGAAATGGAGAGTGACTGGTAAAGTGAAACTGAAAGTCACTCGGTTGTGTCCGACTCTTACAGTCCACGGAATTCTCCAGGCCACAACACTGGAGTGGGTAGCCTTTCCCTTCTCCAGGGGATCTTCCCAACCCAGGGATTGAACCCAGGTCTCCCGTGTTGCAGGCAGATTCTTTACCGACTGAGCCACAAGGGAAGCCCAAGAATACTGGAGTGGGTAGCCTATCCCTTTCTACAGTGGATGTCCCCAACCCAGGAATCGAACTGGGGTCTCCTGCATTGCAGGCAGATTCTTTACCAACTGAGCTATCAGGGAAGCCCGTGATTGTTAAAAATGTCCTCCAACTGTGGTACTGGTCATAGAAGTCTGTGAATATACTAAAACCCCTGAATTGTACACTGCAAATGAGTGAATGGTACACTATGGAAATATATAAAGCTCTTAAAAAATTAAGGTGGGGAAAAGGATAAACTGGGAGACGGATTGACATACACACATTACCAAATATAAAATAAATAATTAATAAGACCTACTGGGAACTCTATTTCTCTAATGGCCTAATGGGAAAAGAATCTAAAAAAGAGTAGATTACCTGTGTATGTATAACTGATACACTATGCTATACAGCAGAAAGTAACATAACATTGTAAATCAACCATACGCTTAATAAAAATTAAAGTGACTGTGCCAAAAAAATAAAATAAAATTGCAAGTATTCATTTAAAAAAAAATTACCTCTGGGGACTGGGGTCCATGCATTTTTTAAGCCTCTGGGTGAAGGTTAACTGTCAGGACTGAGAACTCCCACCCTCTGCCTCTTGTTACTCTAGAGATTCCCAGGGGCCCCGATACAGGAGGCGGTAGCCCAGTCCATCCAAGGCTGGCTCAGCTCTCACTCACCCAAGGGGAGAGAATTCCTGGAAGGGAAGAGTGTCTGTCGGGACGATGCACACGTCCACAGACCCTGCGACCACAGCAGCTGTGGCATTTCACCACTGGTTCTGGCTCCAGGCTTTCTAGAAAGAACCGCCTGTCTCCTTCCTACGAAGTGATGAGAGCAGTTGGGGGAGATGGGTGGCAGTTCTGCTCCCTCTAACCTCCTACACCTCATCTTCACATCCTTCAGATGATTTTTGACATATCTGGGGGGGAAATGTCCCAAAGAGCCAACCCAGGGTCAGACACACAAAACTGGGAGGAAATGCCAAACTCAGGTAGTGTCTGTCTTTCGGAACTTTAGAACGCGTTTGCCGAAAGAAAAAGGTCCCGTCTGGCCACCTTACAATTGCATTCTATAGACAGTGGGGAAGGGAGCGCTGATGAGAATGGTGATACAGCAGCAGAAAGAGGACAGACAGAACAAGAATGGTGCTACCAGAACATTTTGCCACCCAGGCTGCCTTTGCTTGGTTCAGCCTTCTGCACGGAGCCAAAATATGACATACATTTCTAGGGCTCAGGGACCCAACAATAGAAGTCTGAATTATTTTCAAGTTCCAGTATCAAAGGGGAAGGTCTTCTCTGGTGGCTCAGTGGTGAAGAATGCACCTGCCAATGCAGGAAACCTGGGTTCGATCCCTGGGTTGGGAAAATCCCCCTGGAGGAGGAAACAGCAACCCACTCCAGTGTTCTTGCCTGGGAAATCTCATGGACAGAGGAGCCTGGCAGGCTACAGTCCGAGGGGTCGCAAAAGAGTCGGACACAACTAAGCGACTAAAAACAATAACAAATCAAACGGGAAGAACTTGGAATCTCCTGTCTCAGCAGCTAATCTCTGGATGTTACCTGGATTCCTTGAGGTGGGAAACATGGGAAACAGACTTTTCTCAGCCTACTTGTCCCAGGAAATGAAATGCTGCCCCACTCAAATGGGATGCCATGATCTTCACAACCAGATGCAACCAACAAACAAAAGCAGCAACAAGATTGTACCCGCCAAATATGCCACTAGATTCTTCTAGCAGGTTCGTGAACAAGAAAAACAGCCGGGTCCGTTCTCATTGGCTCTTGGGTCTCCATAAAACAAACACACCAATGCAGTTCCACCTGGTGGAAACCACGCCACCTCACACTCTTTCTAGCATGGTCCACCCAGAACACTGAGTTCAACCCGTGGGCATTCAGGTTGACAACGACTCTCCCTGAGTAAGAAAAGCAAAGCCAGTTGAGGGGCCTGAACCATAGATTAAGGGCAGAAAAGTCATCCATTCCAACTTCCTCCAGCTCATCTTTATCAGCGGGACTACATGACTGGTAACTAGTGTTCAAGGCAGCTCACTCCACTCGTGTTCTTCCCGACCCAGGAACCGAACTTGGGTATCATGCATTGCAGGCCGATTCATTACTGTCTGAGCCAAGAGAAATCTAACTGTTGGGAAAGGCCTTTCTAAACTGAGCAGAAATCCACCTCCTCACTTATGTCTCCTGGAGAACCACAGTACTCTTTTACAGCCGTCTGTGTGTGTCTCCTCCACCGTACGGTAAACACAGCCTGGAAGACAGAGACCAAGCTGCTCCTTTCTGCATCTCTCAACTTTGACTCAAGTAAGGTGGACAGTCTAAAAGAGTTCCCTAAGGTGGACTAAATCTAACTCCTCTTCCACAAGACAACCCTTCAGGTATCTGAAGACAACTCTCCAGACTATAGATCTGTGGCTCTCTCAACTACGACAACGTGAACTGGCATCTCATTTCTGTGCCATCCACAACATCCTCTTCTTCATCCCCTTCATTTTGTTAAGTCCCTCTCAAAGAGTAGGCTTAGGGTGGACCCTAGTCCCGGAGAACTGTATTTATATAAGGGACTGGGAAGGAAGGATCACAGGAGTCTTTAGAATCAGAGAAGTAACAAATACCTAACACTGGAGAGCAATGCCTCACCCAAAGAAATTTCATTCCAAAAATTTTTAAGTCAATATGCTAGTCAATACGATGCATTATGCCCACCAGCTGCTGGGACTCAATCCCTGGGTAGAGGGTCTGGGGCCTCCCCTCTCAACCTGGACAAAGCATTGCTGCTAACACACGTAAGAGCACATCCTCTCTTAGCACTCAGGTCATGGTGATCTTCCTCAAGTCAAATGAAATCTCTAACTCCCACCCTAGCATGTACCACAATTAAGCCAGGTATTCCAACCTTGAACCTGAAGGCATGATTTTTGTTTTTTATTGCAATTCAGGATCACACATTTATCTTTCAAATTCCATTCTATTTCCTTTAGAGAGTCATCCTCAACTGTTTGACTTCCAAAGCATTTGCTTTCCATCCCATTTCATGTTATCTCAACATTTGAAAAGTACCTTTTCAATGTTTTCATAAGAAAAAAGGCTCTTCCTTGTTGCTGCATATATTTACAGTATGTAAAATTGATCTCTGACATTCAGGCAGTGAAAAGATTCTAAAAGGCGTCTCCATGAGACAATCTGAGGTAAGCTACCATAAAGAATCTAGTCACTTAGATGGGGTTAAGTCCAAGAGAGCAAAAGTCATCAGCAGGAATCAATCTGAGAAAGGGCTCAGGAAGACGGCAGCTGCCATTACATGAAT